TGTATATATAGTATATAAATCGAATATAGCTTATATATCTTTATTACTATTTTTTCTCTCTAACTTCTATAAAAAATAATAATTAAAAATACAAAGTTTCTGTTGGGCCCGTTTGGGCCCGGGACCGGCCCACTTAATCCGGGACCGTTAGTTCGTGGTACCGGTCCCGAGCCGGTTCAAGCAATAAGCCCGCGAAGCCCGGAACCGTTTAGGACCGGACCGCATAGGACCGACCCACTTAGGACCGGCCCACTTGCCACCCCTAGGTATAACACATAATTTCTTGGAGATATACACAAATATATATGCTAAAAATACATTGATATACAAAATGAGAATTTCCTAAAACAAGATTAATTCTCAAAACATGCTAGTGATAGACATTAGTAAAGGTATGTGTGTTGGAAAAGTTCTGTTGTTGAATTCCCTTCGTGCTGTGTAAAGAACAATGGAGGGAAGCATTGANGCCGTAATGCATCGGTCAGAAAGCTTTTCACGACAGGCAATGTTTGGCCGCTGAGTTGTCGAAGAACAATGGCAGTGGAAACCAAACTAGGAACATGGTTTGGTTCTATGTCTAAAGCCTTCTGAAAAGATTGTAATGCCTCTTTGTGGAGTCCTCTAGCTTGATAGAGTAACCCTGCAAAATGACCACCATTTATGATGTCTTCAGAAGTTGGCTTTGTAAGACCTCATCTCAAAGATGATTAAACAGAAAACATGAAAGAAAACCTTGTGCCCTACTTAACGTCTAGATTAGCCAACATTTACAGACTTGTCTATGTAACATCATGCAACAACTTTAGATTAATCGACATTTACAGACTTGTCTATGTAACATCATGCAACAACTTTTTTCCAAAATAGCAGTACTTACTATGCAGACTCACAAATAGGGCTATGAGACGCCCATTATTCCATATTATGGTTTCTATCCTATCCAATTTACACACTTAATCTCCCCAGCATGGGACAAGCAATAATTTATTTGAAAGACCAAAATCTAAAGCCATTAGTCCATCTGAAAAAGACAGACAACAAAATAATCAAGTGGATTCTTATTTAATTTTTCCTTCACTTACAGATATAGTTTCAAGTAAGGAGTTTAGTGTAGGAAAGACAAAAAAGTTGTACCAAATTTGTATCGCTACCAAAATTCAAGTCTCACATTGCATCAGATAATTTTAGATTGAAAAGAAAACACTTGCTCGCTAGTGTTTGATGCAGGTCTATGAGCATTTAATATTTTACAATCTACAATGTACATCACAATCTCCAGCTTTAATGATAAGCTAGGCATTAAAATCACATACTAAAAAAGAAGTGAAATATTTCTAACGTGGAGCAATAAGAATGCTGATACATGGGGGGTCAGGCAATTCAAATGCAAATCTTTCAAGATCATGATTTGTTCTCTGATCTTCTTTACTGGGTTTGCAAAGGGGCATAAAACAGCAGTGATCAAACCCACTTTGGCTCTAAGATCACAATCTAAAACTTAGTATATAGCAATTTAACCCCCTCCCGCCTTTTGGGGAAGGTGTTATTAAATTGCCCAGGCAACATATATTCACAACGAGACTGCCTAGGCTTGAGTCATATTGACCTGTGCCAGAGAGATAAATATCTCTTTGCAGAAAGAAAAAACTAACTCCAATCCTATATCTTGTACACTCCAAGAAACATCTTATAAGAAAAGTTCAGAACATATGCCAAGATAAGTGGAAAGAAAAAACTAATACCTGCAGAGTGGCATCTTGAAGCAGAATGAGGATTGATAGCCTCAGATTTGATTAGGCAAACCTCCGCATCACGCCACTGAGACAAGCTTGTGTACACATTTGCTAGGTCATGCCATGTTTCCATTTCTAAACTTCTAGTGTTGTTTCTCATGTTCTGTGGGGTTAAAGGGCAAAAAGGACAACGCAACTGATGAGAGACGGAGAATTAAAAGGACAAATCAAAGTACAAAAGCCAGACAAACTACTAAGGAATACAAGATTGAACTTGAACATACAACAATTTCCTACAGTCCTGCCTGAAGAAGAGAAATAGGATTGAAAGAGAACTGAAACAGAAGATTACACTTGGAAAAATTCCTTCCCCATTTTCCCTCTTCAATTGCAAATGTGAAGGTTCTTATCTCGGAAAGAAAACGAATAAAGGTTGAAAGCAAGCGCTTTGCAAGGTCATGTATTGTTTCAGTAAGTGACAAGAATTTGAAAAGTGTCACTAAATTAAACTAGAAGGTCTATTAGACTTAGATTAGCAAGATTTGTTATCCAAGTTGATATTTCATGTCATGAGGAACCATACCTTTAACAACTTTTTCTGAACTCCAAAACTTTTTCTCGGAACTTGGAGTACAGCAAGAAGATGAGTATATGTCTCCACTACTCATCTTTTTCATGTATTGTTTCAGTAAGTGACAAGAATTTGAAAAGTGTCACTAAATTAAACTAGAAGGTCTATTAGACTTAGATTAGCAAGATTTGTTATCCAAGTTGATATTTCATGTCATGAGGAACCATACCTTTAACAACTTTTTCTGAACTCCAAAACTTTTTCTCTGAACTTGGAGTACAGAAAGAAGATGAGTATATGTCTCCACCGCATCCCGCAGATGTTCCTGGGCAATCTGTAGTTTCGCCTTAGTGCGTAGTAGTTCTCCTTGATTCCATTTTCCTGTTTCGTCTAGTGCAGCATTAATTATGTTTTCTGCATCTATATACCTCTTTTGAGCAGATAGTATACGAGCAAGAAGAAGCCATCCTCTGACAGTAGATCCTCCCTCCAACTTCAACAGCTGCTTTGCATAGTAGAGAGCAATATCCAACTTTCTCTGCTCTGCATTCTCCAAACTAAGGTAGAAAAGAACAGTAGGATTTCTTCCTTCAGTTATCTTTTGTGCCGATTCAAGTGATTCAAGAGCTTCACTCAGTCTTGACGTTCTCTCAGAATCAGACACGAGGGCACGAGATCGACCTGAGAGCAGAAGACCAAGTAAGCATTTTGCAACACTAGCCATCTGGTTACATTTCCCATCAATTTTTGGGAGCACTTTCCGGGCATACCCCATCCCTTCTTCCGATAAATTGGGATACTCTGCACAAATTTTGGCAGCAAGTAGTAACTCAAATATGCCGTTCTCGTTGTCCCTGTTATTCATCAGGTTCCTTAACAGATTCAAAGAGACCATGTCATCACCTTCTGCATAATAACACAGGGCAAGGGTAGTGTACTTTTGTCTTCTAACAACAATTCCAGGGAGCAACTCCTCAACCTGATGGGCGAGTGCCCTAAACTCACCTGCAATGGATAATGCAAAGCAGAGGTGATCCAAGATCGATGGATCCCATACAATTTTATTGACGATGTATCTTCTTAGAAGGACCAGAAGCAGCAAAATAGCTTCTTCTATATTGTTTCTAGGTATGAAGGAACCTTCTGCCTGTGCGCGAAGATTTGGAGGAGCTGCATCAGTGCCACTGTATAAGAGAAATATAGCATACTGCTTTTCTATTTTGCTTCTCGTTTCCACATCAAGATTCCACCGATAAAGCAGGGCCCTTCTATATGACAAGATTGCTTCTTGAGGAGCACAAGCTAGCTTCCACAGCTCAGGAAGTAACTCCACCGCCTTGTTCAAGGTTTCCAACAATTTGCAATCAGCAGAAAAGTTCTCATGTAAGCCATCTGGCAAAGCAGACTCAACTGTATCCAGTATCACTGTACACGACTGAGCAGCTTCTGCAAAAGTCATAAAGGAAATCTTTAATGCCCAATAACAATCGACACGCTGGAACAGCCTTAAAAAGAATAAACATGCACAGATAGAGGTATCGTGACAGTAAATGGAAAATACCCCAAAGCAGGCGTCTTCTTGACTCAGTATTCCACAATAAAGTCAGCAGAATTATAATTCCCGAAGAATAAAATATGCAGTAGAATAAACACATATCATGAACTTAGTTAATAAGGTGAGGAAGCACCTGTAAACCTCCCAAGTGCCTGCAGGGATGTTGCTTTGAGTAAAATGGCCTCAAAGAGCAGACTTACTGCATGCATTGACATAGGTGGGATAGCGTCGCTAAGTGAATTCCGTCTTGGTATCTCACATCTTCTTGCAATCGAAAGTTTTATCTTCGGAACCACCGCAGCAATATCTATTCCCTCAAATACATGAAGAGCAGCCTCAATGTTACCTTTTTGATACTCAAGCCGACCTAATAATGCTCTTGCTTCCTAAAATAAAAGTGTCTCTTAGCCTCCAAGTAGAATATGAAGGGAATAGAAGTTGTAAGTCAAGAGCTTTTATTCATGAGAATTCAAGTTAGTTATGTCGTCCACCAAGGACATTGCAGCTGACATGTTGAAAAGATTTTTGTATTTCAATATGCAGTCACGCCATGTTAATTTTCGTTAATATGACAGAATCTCCAGTTTTAAAAAGATATTAGTGATCCATTACAAAGTAAAATATAAACACACCATTACGGGAGAATTGCAAGTAAAAACAAGGGTCATCGTCATTCATACAAAGAAAGTGGCGAAAGCTTTATGTACAACTTCATACAGAGATATATATATAAATCAGAGAAAGTCTCATACATTTAAACCTTTTGCATGTTAAGTAGCTTATTTTCCTTGTGCTTCCATTATGAATTCAATTTTACTTTCGCATGCTACTGAGTCATCCCCTCAATTCTTTGAGGATGCAAGAATGCACTTTACTCAAAAAGAAATTTAAATGTAAAAATTATTGTGTCTACCAAATCATTGGTCTGATTATATAAATTTTAGACCACGTACACAGTGGAAAAAGAAATACGTGGACTTCTGTTCCCTGTGCCTCAGTAAGAAAACAAATCTCGGTTTGCCCAACACCAGATTAACAATGGAATTTATCTAATAACAAAACTAGATTCTGCCATTCTCAACTGAAAAGTTCCCTAGTATCCGGAATGAATAAATAAGAAAACTTCCTTACTGCATCAAAATCAAATTGAGGGGCGAAAATTGTGATAATAACATCTGATTATGAAAAATATAGGAACAGTTAACTATGTATCGAAAGGGAAGCTGATTTCATCATAAGTATCCTTTGCAGCACCAACCTCATAATTCAAAATGCCACTCTCACGAAGTGATGATTCTGCTTCTTCTATGTTACTGGTGTCTGCCTTGGCGTCATCTCCGGCACGCGAAGAATACCCACTAGCTGAATAGTCTCGAGTTGCAAGAGACTCGGATGATGGAATAATATCTTCAATCCTCAGTTGTTCCCCTGAGCAAATGCACTTCATCATCTTCCGCAATCTAAGTCTTAAACTAATTTTCTGCTTGTAAATCCAATACTTAACACTCATCCTGTCTCATTACGCTGAAATGTTTAATCACAGAAGTTCACAAAACATATCAGTACCCACAGTGGAACATGAATCATAAGTCAGTAAACCAAGATAAGATATTTTATCCAGTGCACATAACAGTATAAGAGAAGAAAGCAAGAAAAACATTAAAGGAAAGATTAGGCCAAATTCAATCTCTTTCTCCTTGTAGGATTGTGTTGATTTCACATATACCCTTTTAGCTGGAATTCAAGATGAGACCTTTTTCTTCCAAAGAAGGTCCAACTAAAAAAAATTATACTGCTCCAGAAATGCTGCACCTAAATTATGTGGATCATAGACTTTAAAGACCCTAAAACAAATAGAACAAAATTTCTAAGGTTTGTAAAGCCTAAGATATTGAATTGAGTAAAAGTAAGCAAAATTCAGATACAGGAAAAACCCAACATTACCCAAACAGAGCCTCCTCAGTTGAGCTAAACACAAAGGGTTTAACCAATTACAGAACTGAAACAAAAACTCAATAATCCAGAAAAGTTCACCAACAACCAAAAACATGTTGCATCATTCAGGGGAAAAGATTTCAACTTTCTTAAAGCCTGGACAGCTAAAAATTTTTAAGGGGAAAAAAACTCAATGTATCATAAAAATGGGTGAAAGATAGGGTTAAATCAAAAGTACCTTTTGATTGGTAAAAAGCATTGACTGAGCTGAGCCCACAAGATATTAAAGCCTCCACTACCCCTCATTTCTTCCAAAGATTAAAGCTTTTTAGCTTGATTTTCTTGACTGAGTTAAACCCAAAAATGAAGAATCCAAAGCTTTTAAAATTTTGTTTTTCTTGCACAAGTTTTCAACTGTGGATTTTACTCTTGGAATTGTGGAAGAGAAGATTCAAAAAGTCAGACAGACAGAAGTAGTGAGGCATTAAATGTGAGAGACCCAACAAACCCTGAAATCTTCTCTTCCTTATTATCAGTAAAAAAATAGAATTTAGAATGCAGCAATTATTTTCTTAATGTGGGTAAAATTTTAATTAATTGTGACAAAGATTTTTCTTACAATAGTTTTTACAATAAATTACTAGTAAACTCTGACAGAGTCTTGAATTCCTTTACAGTAGGAGTACTAAATTTAATTATGTTAATTATTTTAACGGCTGCTTTAGAGAAAGGTTATGGGGAAGGAATAGAGTGGGTCCCATTGTTGAATTTTGGTACAAAGGCCTTTCAAATGTCTGTCAGTTGCCAACTGTAAAAAAAAATGATTCTTTCATTTACTAATTTATTTCACTTTTCTTTATTTTAAGAATAATTATCAATTGTTTTATCCCTTTGCACGTGCTTTATTTCATTTTTGTTTTCGAACGGGGTTAATGGGCGATCAAGCCATTGCACTTTGGAGTAAAAATAACACGGGCTAGTCAGTTCGGGTAGTTAGTTTTCAGACTAATAATTGAAAAATAGCCAGTGTTTGCAAAATTATTGAAAAATAGTTATTATTTTGCTGTAATACGAAAAACTCCAGCATAATATACTGAAGATTGGTGCACCTCTGTATGAACTTCCAGCTCCAGCACATAGAAAATTCCAACATAATATACTGAAGATTGTAGCACTTGCGTATGAAATTCCATCATATTATACTAGACCAGTATATTATGCTGGAACTCCAGTATATTATGTTGGAAGTTCACATGTAAAAAATTCGAACTCTAGTATATTATGCTGGAATATTTTTCGAATTTTGAACATTATTTTCGTTCAAATTTATCTTTATATGAAAATTGCCTAAATTTCGATTACTTTTAAAATTGTGCTATTTTTTAATTATCACTAATAAATCTGGCTATTTTTAAATTTTACCCACTTTGAGAAGGGTGTCGGCCTAAAGTCGGCCCAAGATGAGAAAAAGAAGAAGAAAACTACAATTGATAAAGCGGATTACTTAAAATTGATAAATCAATAGGGCAAAATGCTAATTTTGGCAATGAGCTTCAAATTCTAGAATTACCATTCAATGAGATACAAGATTTTCGTTTTCTGGTCCTATCCATTTTTCCACTATGAGCTAGGACTGGGCTGATTATGCCTGTCCATGGTTAATTTGCAACTATTATCAAAATAATTATATTTCGTTTAAGTTAGTAATATAGCTAGGCGTGAAGAACCTGGAACCTGAAATCCCCAAACACACATACAAAAAGGAAAAAAAAAAGTTTTTCATATTATAAATATATTATATTATGAATGTCCATTTAGTACTCCGTTGTAAATAAGTTTCTTGAAAAATCTTATCCATATTGGACTCCGCCGTAATTATGATTTTCTATTTAGTACTCTATTGGAAATAAGCCTCATGAATAAGCTTATCACTTCGGCATTCCGTCATGGTTAAATATTACTCATGTAGAAGATTATCTATAGCTGGTACAATTATAGCTTACATAGCAGCTTGCATTAGGGGCTTACAAGCAGCTTATACAGCAACTTGCAGTAGCAGCTTGCAAGCAACTTACACAGCAGCTTGCACATCAACTTCCTTTCTTCTATAAATAGAAGAGATTTCAATTCATTATGGACATAAGTTTGAAGTTGAATAATATATCAGTTTTTCTCTATACTTGTCTTTACTTTACAGTCTTTATTTTATAACACGTTATCACCACGAGACTCTACCATATCGAGCACTTACTTTGAATTTAGTTTTTCTATTTCAGGATAAGAAGTAATTCAAAGTCACAATACTGAGGGAACTAATAGATGGTGCCCAACATAGAAAATCTGGAAGAAAAGCAAGTCTCTACATCGTTGGAGAAATCAAAGGTTTAGCTTGTGTATTTCCAGTTATTATGATTATTTGGTGCTGAAGCACCGATTGCTCGGAGGTATCAAGTATTATTTGTTTCATTAATTACTCATCTTAGCTATTAAAAGTGTTATAAAGAGCAATCATGTATATCATGTAAGAGAGAAAATTTGTATCGGTGCATGCGTATGGCTAATGATCGAAAGAGATTTGTCATCTCCAAAAAGTGATTTTTAAAAAAAAAATCCATCCAATCTTCCAATTATCACTGGGAGTGATAAATATTTTGAGAGGCAGCAAATTTACTCATGTAGAGCATCGCTTGAACTCCAGTAGAGTTCATGAGAAATGTAAGATCACTAGAAGTGATTATATATTTTATATCGTCTTATTGTAACTAAATTTTGTTAACCACCAGAAGTGGTATATGCCTATGATCACTAGAAGTAGTAATTTAGGCTTTTTATCGTTACAATTGAAGATAAGCTAGAGAAATATTCTTTATATTACATGCATGCCTTGATTTGCTCCTGAAGTAGCATTATCTTAAAAGAGGTTCTAAGACATTATACAATTTGGTGTGATTAATGCACGCTTATATAATCATGTTCCGTTTCCTGAAGGATGAGAACTTTTGATAAATATTAATCCATTTTCGGAAGTAATGTGACAATATTAATAAAGCTCATAAATATGAACGCGCTCTTGATGTAAATATATTACAATTCACCTCCAGAAGAGGTAATATGATTGAAAAAATATATACTCAATATTTTGTATTTTAAATTTGCTCCTGAAGAAGTAACACAATTGAAATTTCCTCATGAAGTAGGAAAATATTATGAAGAGGTGTTTTCTTGTGCTTAAATAATTGTTTATTTGATTATAATTTTCTCTCATAATACCAGAAGTGTCTGAGCAATTGTTGATAGTACAAAATGTATCAACAACTCCTGAAGAGCTAATTGTTTGTCTAGAAGACATATGACACCAGTAGTGTCCGATAAATATCAGATTGTGTATAATAAATGAAGGCTCTCGAAGAGCTTATATACAAATATGTCATTCATATTATATGATTATGGTCAAAACATATGTTGTATTAAACCTGAAGTTTACTAATATTGTCACGACCCAATTTTTTCTCTGTTGGGTATCGTGATGGCACCTAGTCTTAGGGACTAGGTAAGCCTAACATTTACTGAATAACAACAATAAATAAATAACATCTAACAATTTTTGAAATAGAAATCTCTATAAAATTTACAATTCCCAAAACCAGTAGTACAAGTCATAAGCTCTACTGAGTTACTAGAAAACCTATAAATACAACTGTTTTGAAATAGAGGTAAAACAGTGCAAGTACAATATCAGAAGGTGACTCCGAAGCCTGCGAACACAGTAACAAGTTTACCTTGAGTCTCCACAGCAAGATCTGTGCTGCTAGCGATTGGTCAACTGACTCCACATTTACATGACTCTGCACAAAAATATGCAGAAGTATAGTATGAGTACACCATAGTCGGTACCCAGTAAGTATCAAGACTAACCTAGTGGAGTAGTGACGAGGTACAGTCAAGAAACTCACTAGTCAAATAACTTGTGCCATACTAAAATTATCAAAAATAAATAGCAGTGATAGCAACAATAATCCAATAGTGCTATAAACAGTAAGGCAACAAGAATATCATAATTATTACTCAGACGAATAAGAAACACAAGAACAACCAATTAAATAAGTCTTTCACATATAATCTCTTCAAATAAATACCCTTCAAATATATTTCTTCAAATAAGTATCATTCGAATATAAAACTCTTCCAAATAAATATCTCATATCATAATCATAAAATACGGTTCTCGACCCCCTTTCATATTCTCACGGCACCTCGTGCCCATATCTCTAATCACAACCGCACGAACAACTCTCGTGCCAAATATTTCAATACATAAGATCCGCACGATTAATTTATTTTCAATAAAGTAAGGTTACAATAATTTTTTTGTTAAACCAAGTGAGAATTCAATAAAGAAATGAGCTTATTTTAGAATTAGTTTGAGTAAAGAAAAATGACATTTCAATTTAAATAAAATATCAGATAATCTATTTGTCACGACCCAATTTCCCCTCCGTTTGGGTAACGTGATGGCACCTAGTCTTAGGGACTAGGTAAGCCTAACATTAATTGAAAACACATGATTTAAATAACATCTAACAATTTGAAATAGAAATATCTTAAACTTTACAATTTCCAAAACCCGGTAGTACAAGTCATAAGCTCTACAGAGTGTTTGCTAGAAAGCTTCTAAATACAACTGTCCAAAAATAAGAATAAACAGTGCAAATTGAAAACTTGAAGGTGACTCCGAAGCCTGCGAACGCAGCAGCAGGTTTACCTTGAGTCTCCACAGCAACGACCCGCACAGCTACTAACGAACAATACCTGGATCTGCATAAAAATGTGCAGAAGTGTCGAATGAGCACACCACAACGGTGCCCAGTAAGTATCAAGACTAACCTCAGTGGAGTAGTGACGAGGTACAGTCAAGACACTCACTAGTCAAATAACCTGTGTCATACTAAAATAATTGAGAACAAATAGCAGTGATATAAATAGTAAGGCAGCAAGAACACCACAATTATTGCTCCGACAAATAAAAAAGAACACAAGTACAACTAATTAAACAAGTCTTTCATATAAGAACCCTTCAAATAAAATACCCTCCAAATATATATTTCTTCAAATAAGTATCATTCGAATATAAAACTCTTTCAAATAAATATCTTTAAAAATATAATTCTTCAATTTAAAAGTCACCATG